TAATTTTAGAGTTTTTTTAATACTGGTAGCCAGATTTTGTTCAGACTAAAAATAGGAAGATTTCCCATTCTCTGCTCCTGGAATTACTGCCTAAAGAGGGCTAGAAAGAACCCCCTCTAAGGGCCCTTCCACACAGCAAAATAAGATATGTGCAATGTGCAGAGGAATTTTTAATTGATTTTTTTTAAAAAAAACTATAGTCCGGCCCTCCCATCGGTCTGAGGGACAGTAAACCGGCCCCCGGTGTAAAAAGTTTGAGGACCCCTGGCCTAAGCTAACCAATGCATGAAAAAAACCTCTTTCCAGGCTCTGGGGAACCGTGAGCTTGCCTGGGATGCCTTTCTGGCATCCCGGGGAGGCCGGACCTACGTCAATTGGAACCGCGGATACGGAGATCTCCCTTTCGGACCCCCGTATCCGCTAAAATTTCAAAATGTCGGATCGGCTCCATTTTAATGCCATATTTTTCTATGCTTAATTCTTAACTAAACTGCTATCTTGCTTTTCTTATTTTGGAACCCTACGCCCAGGAAATAATCTTTTTGTTTTAAAGAATATAATTTGACAGAAAACAGCTGATTGTCAAAGTTCGCCGGTTCCAAGCAAACAGTCAATTTCCCCTCGTTGCTGCTCGCTCCTGCCTAGCTCCGCACCCGGGGACTTGCTGCGGTTGCCCCCAGGAGACCTCGGAGAGGGGTCCGGGCAGGAGGCTCAGTCCTTGGGAGGGAGTTATAGTTCCCCAAGGACCAAGCCGTGGATTTTGTCACCAATCGACTCAGAGACCATCCTGCTAATTCTTGCCAAGAAAAATAACTTTCTGTTGCTTGTTTTGGACTGCAAGCCATGTCCACTTCCACGAACTCTTTCAAAGAAGCTCCGAACTTTCAAATAAAAAAAGGATGATTTTTATTATTAAATATTTGGGATGAGGGATGGGGACGGGATATTTTCTGTATGAATTTTATATTGATTGAACATGTATGAAATATTTCTTGCCCCTTTGCCTTTCTCTTTGCCTTTTGCCTTGAAAAAAATATATTGCAACCAGAGATTGCTCACTGCCTGAGGGAGGACCACAGCCTCCCTCAAAACTTGCCTGATTATTCAACATCTGCATGGACAATAACAAATTGGCCCACTCTCTGAGTTTGTCTGGCGGGAAAGGAAGTTTCTTTGGACACTTTGATTGAATTACAAAGGGACAAGGATGACCCCCGGGGTCCCTCGTCCTGGCCCTGTTTGTTCCTTTTGCCAAAACCCATCAAGGACACTCCTTATCTGATCCGGGACAGGAAAACCTTTCTTAAAGAAATCACACTTTGGCGGCCAAAACAATGCCTCAAATTCCAGCTGGCTGGCTAGTGATAATCCCATCATTTCCCCCATTGTCAGCAATCGTCCTGCCTCCTCTCTCCTGATTCGTCCATCCTCGGAGGCGAGAGAAGAGTGCTGATTAGTTCCCCAGAGGCGGGGAAGCCTGCTGATTGGCCCAGAGCAAGGCGGGCCGCCAAGCCTCCTCCCAGCTGTTCGGGCCGACAGCCAATCAGCGTGAAGCCGGGCAGAGAGGGGTGGGCGGGAAATTTGAAATGTTTTTCTGTATTTTACCTATTAAAATGCCTGTAAATCCTGTATTGGTATGCTTGTAGTGCAGTGGTTCTCAACCTGGAGTCCCCAGATGTTTTTGGCCTATAACTCCCAGAAATCCTAGCCAGTTTACCAGCTGTTAGGATTTCTGGGAGTTGAAGGCCAAAACATCTGGGGACCCCAGGTTGAGAACCACTGTTGTAGTGGAAATATCCCTACAATTGCATCCGATCTCAGCTGAATCGCTAATAAAGAGCCTCGGTCGCCATCTTCTACCACTTTGGTGAGGATTTATTTTTTAAAATATTTTCTGCTGCTGGAATTGGCTTCGCTGCCCTCACCAAGGTCCAAGGACCCTCTTTGGTGCGGTCCTCGGGATCTCCTCGGCTGGGGAGATCCTTCCAAAAAGCGGTCTCGATATCATTTGGATCTCATAGTGCAGTGTTTCTCAACCTGGGGGTCGGGACCCCTGGGGGGATCGCGAGGGGGTTTCAGAGGGGTCACCAAATTCAGTCAGAAAACTCAGTATTTTCTGTTGGTCATGGAGTTCTGTGTCCACAGTGCTCTCTGGATGTAGGTGAACTACAACTCCCAAACTCAAGGTCAATGCTCAGCAAACCCTTCCAGTATTTTCTGTTAGTCATGGGAGTTTGGTGTGCCAAGTTTGGTTCCATTCCATCGTTGGTGGAGTTCAGAAAGCTCTTTGATTGGAGGTGAACTACAAATCCCAGCAACTACAACTCCCAAATGTCAAGGTCTATTTTATCCAAACTCCACCAGTGTTTGCATTTGGGCATATTGGGTATTCACGCCAAGTTTAGCCCAGAACCATCATTGTTTGAGTCCATAGTGCTGTCTGGATGTAGGTGAACTACAACTCCCAAACTCAAGGTCAATGCTCAGCAAACCCTTCAAGTATTTTCTGTTGGTCATGGGAGTTCTGTGTGCTAAGTTTGGTTCAATTCCATCGTTGATGGAGTTCAGAAAGCTCTTTGATTGGAGGTGAACTATAAATCCCAGCACCTACAACTCCCAAATGTCAAGGTCTATTTTATCCGAACTCCACCAGTGTTCGCATTTGGGCATATTGGGTATTCACGCCAAGTTTAGCCCAGATCCATCATTGTTTGAGTCCATAGTGCTGTCTGGATGTAGGTGAACTACAACTCCCAAACTCAAGGTAAATGCTCAGCAAACCCTTCAAGTATTTTCTGTTGGTCATGGGAGTTCTGTGTGCTAAGTTTGGTTCAATTCCATCGTTGATGGAGTTCAGAAAGCTCTTTGATTGGAGGTGAACTATAAATCCCAGCACCTACAACTCCCAAATGTCAAGGTCTATTTTATCCGAACTCCACCAGTGTTCGCATTTGGGCATATTGGGTATTCATGCCAAGTTTAGCCCAGATCCATCATTGTTTGAGTCCATAGTGCTGTCTGGATGTAGGTGAACTACAACTCCCAAACTCAAGGTCAATGCTCAGCAAACCCTTCCAGTATTTTCTGTTGGTCATGGGAGTTCTGTGTGCTAAGTTTGGTTCAATTCCATCGTTGATGGAGTTCAGAAAGCTCTTTGATTGGAGGTGAACTATAAATCCCAGCACCTACAACTCCCAAATGTCAAGGTCTATTTTATCCGAACTCCACCAGTGTTCGCATTTGGGCATATTGGGTATTCATGCCAAGTTTAGCCCAGATCCATCATTGTTTGAGTCCATAGTGCTGTCTGGATGTAGGTGAACTACAACTCCCAAACTCAAGGTAAATGCTCAGCAAACCCTTCAAGTATTTTCTGTTGGTCATGGGAGTTCTGTGTGCTAAGTTTGGTTCAATTCCATCGTTGATGGAGTTCAGAAAGCTCTTTGATTGGAGGTGAACTATAAATCCCAGCACCTACAACTCCCAAATGTCAAGGTCTATTTTATCCGAACTCCACCAGTGTTCGCATTTGGGCATATTGGGTATTCATGCCAAGTTTAGCCCAGATCCATCATTGTTTGAGTCCACAGTGCTCTCTGGATGTAGGTGAACTACAACTCCCAAACTCAAGGTCAATGTCCACCAAACCCTTCCAGTATTTTCTGTTGGTCATGGGAGTTCTGTGTGCCAAGTTTGGTTCAATTCCATTGTTGTGGAGTTCAGAATGCTCTTTGATTGTAGGTGAACTATAAATCCCAGCAACTACAACTCCCAAATGACAAAATCAATCCCCACCCAATCCCACCAGTATTTAAATGTGGGTGTCTTGGGTATTTGTGCCAAATTTGGTCCAGTGAATGAAAATCCACCCTCCATATCAGATACTGACATGATGATTCATAACAATAGCAAAATGACAGTTCAGAGTGCTCAGCAACTACAACTCCCAAGTGGCGAAATCAATGCCCATCTAACCCACCAGTATTCAAATTAGAGCTTAATACGTATTTGGTCCAGTGAATGAAAATACATCCTGCATATCAGATATTTACATTACGATTCATAACTGTAGCAAAATGACAGTTATGAAGTAATAACAAAAATAATGTTATGGTTGGGGGTCACCACAACAGGGGGAACTGTAATAAGGGGTCGCATCATTATGAAGGTTGAGAAACACTGTCATAGTGTTAGAGCGCAGTCTGTTCAGTGCCTTCCAAGTTGCCCAGTCTTCTGTGTGCCCAGGAGGGAGTCTCTCATTGGGTCTCAGCCACTGATTGAGGTTCCAGATTTCAACCTGCCATTTTTGGACTCTCACTTGCTAAGGTATTTCTGCGAGTATCTCTGTAGATCTTAGGATGCTGTTCCTTGATTTAAGGCATTGGCATGCAGATAATCAAAGCAGTTCAAAGCAGATAATCTCGATTCAGAAACCAGATTATATGGCAGTGTAGATGGGGGCTTGGTGCATTGTTGCAGTTTGAGGAGGCTCTGGCCCTGTTTGGCAGAGAAAACCTTGGGAAACTACAACTCCCAGGGTAACATTAGTTCAAGTAGTGTCAAATTGCGTTAATTAGACAGTGCGGATGCACTCCAAAATACCTAGAGGAGCCAAGGCTATAAACCCTTGTTGCTATATCAATCTTAGGGCTCTTCCACACAGCCATATAACCCATAATATCTAGGGAGAAAGTCCCACAATATCTGCTTTGAACTGGGATATCCGAGGGTCCTTCCACACACCCCTATATTTCAGAATATCAAGGCAGAAAATCCCACAATATCTGCTTTGAACTGGGTTATCTGGTCCACATTCAGATAATGTGGGATTTTCTGCCTTGATATTCTGGGCTATAGGGCTGTGTGGAAGTGCCCTTAGTCCGCACTAACATATATTCCAGTTCAAAGCAAATAATATGGGGTTTCATTCAGCTGTGTGGAAGGGGGCTAAAAGGCTCTAAGTTTTTCTATCTCTAGGGGCGTGTCCTTGTACAATGGTTTTGCGTTTTGCTTTTCTGCGGACATTTGAACCTTATCGTGACTTGTAGCTGGCGTTTTGAAAAGAGACGCGCATTCCCGCCCATTCAAATGGTCTTCTGAGGCGGTGAGTTGTTTATATGTGGGAAAGTTGGTCTTTTGAGAGGGGGGTGGGGGGCTTTTCCTTCTTCTACATCTTCGCCCCATTTCTTTCCCTGTGGCATCCCAGGCCCCTTTTACACAGTTGAATAAAATCCCATATTATCTGCTTTGAACTGGGATATGTGGCAGTGTAGACTCAGATAACGCAGCTCAAAGCAGATTTTGTGGGATTTCCTGCCTAGATATTTTGGGTTATTTGGCTGTCTGGAAGGCCCCCGAGGCCCCTTCTACACTGCCATATGATCCAGATTATCTGATTTGAACCGGATTATCGTAGAGCCTTCCACACAGCCATATAACACATAATATCAAGGCAGAATAGCCCACAATGTATTGTCGAATGCTTTCATGGCCGGAATCACTGGGTTGTTGTAGGTTTTTTCGGGCTGTATGGACATGGTCTAGAGGCATTAATATCTGTTTTCAACTGGGTTATAAAAATCCACACTGCCATATATCCCAATTGAAAGCAGATAATGTGGGATTTTATTTAGCTGCGTGGAAGGGGCCTGAGTCTATACTGCCATATAATCCAGTTCAAAGCAGATAATCTGGATTTTATATGGCAGTGTAGAAGGGGGCCCAGTTTATGGCAACCACAAAAATAAAGTTTCTGGAGTAAAAGCACTGTTTTCAAAGTAAGGACTGCACAATTAAACAGGAAATTACACTTTCAAACCAGGAACATTTTTTTTGTCAAATTGTGTTACATAGTGTTATTATTCCCTTTTGTTGCAAACACTTAAAAGATTCATTTGTAGCACCTTGGTTGATTTGACACATTCTGTCCCCCCGTCCCCCCCCAGGGCATCAAGATGTGGGATCTAGCCAATTTTTTGCTAAGTGAGGACACAAGAAGTGGGCCAGTCAATCTTCATTCCAGAGAAGAAAATCTGTATCAGCTACATGCACTCCTTAAAGTTGCCTCATCTGAAAAGGTAGATTGTCCTTGTGTTGTCGAAGGGTTTATGACTGGAATCACTGGGTTGTTGTGAGTTTTCTGGGCTATCTGGCTATGTTCCAGAAGCATTATCTCCTGACATTTTGCCCATATCTATGGCAAGCATCCTCAGAGGTTGTGAGGTCTGTTGGAAACTAAGCAAGTGGGATTTATAAATCTGGAATACCCAGGGTAGCAGAAATAATTACTGTTTGTCTGAGACAAGTATGAATGTTGCCATTGCCCAGCTTGATTAGTATTGAATGGCCTTGCAGCTTCAAAGCATAGCATATTATCAAGTATGAATGTTGCCATTGCCCAGCTTGATTAGTATTGAATGGCCTTGCAGCTTCAAAGCATAGCATATTATTTGAGAACACAAATGCTGGACCACTCTAACAACCACCATGTCAGACTATACAGAGAAGCCATTGAAATCCATAAATATGTGGACAATTTCAACAAAAAGGAGAAAACCATGAACATGAGCAAAATCTGGTTACTTACTTACTTACTTACTTACTTAGACGATCCCTCGTTGGACGAGTAAGATGGTCTTCCATTATGGATTTCCTTGTGGGTCCGTATGTGGCTGTGGAGCCCTATTCTTGCTCTGCATCTTCTTCCGCAGTGAGGGCATTGGTTTCCAGGTGGAAGGCGGTCCCGGTCGGGGTTGGCTTGACGCGCCTTCCTCCTGGCACGTTTCTCTCTTTCACCCTCCACTCGTGCCTCCTCAAATTCTGCAGCACTGCTGGCCACAGCTGTCCTCCAGCTGGAGCGCTCAAGGGCCAGGGCTTCCCAGTTCTCAGTGTCTATGCCAGAGTTTTTAAGGTTGGCTTTGAGCCCATCTTTAAATCTCTTTTCCTGTCCACCAACGTTCCGTTTTCTCTTCTTAAGTTCGGAGTAGAGCAACTGCTTTGGGAGACGGTGGTCAGGCATCCGGACAACGTGGCTGGCCCAGCGGAGTTGATGTTGGAGGACCATCGCTTCAATGCTGGTGGTCTTTGCTTCTTCCAGCACACTGACATTTGTCCGCTTGTCTTCCCAGGAGATTTGCAGGATTTTCCGGAGGCAGCGCTGATGGAAACGTTCCAGGAGCTGCATGTGACGTCTGTAGACAGTCCACGTTCACATTATATATCATTTTTTCTTCACCCTTATCTTTATATACCAGCCCCTTTTTCTTCCCCTACAAATTATTCCTTCAACATCTATCCATTAAAATCTTCACTTCATATCTCATTCTTTTTTCTC